GAAGGAAGATGGTGAGCTGCTTTCTTCTCTGTTTTGTTGCTTAGTATAGTATTAGATTAATTTTGTTAGGAAAGGTTCTTAAGTGTAGCATTAGCTTAGTGGCTTAAGTGGTGGTTATGTTGGCGGGTTGCTTAGGTTTGAGTTTTGCTTAAGGCATTAGGCCTGTTTAAGTATATAATTTTATTTAGTAAGTTCTATCTATTAATCTTGGTTATTAGCTTGCCTATTAGTGTTTAATGTGGTAATTAAATTAACAATTGGATGCCTAGCCTAGATGGTTGAGCTTGTGAGTAATTTAGGGAGGAACTAGTGATTAATTCCCCTTATGAGCATAATTAGTTTTATTAGTGCTTGTGTTAATAGTCGAAGGATCGGTTTGATTCACAGGTTCCCGGTAGCTTGGTTTTGTGAGTTGAGCCAATGATTGGCGTTGGTTTTGGTTGGATAAGCGAATAAGGTAACCCATGCTTTACAAAACCTATTTTGCTTACCTATATGTGATTTCTTGGATTCTACTTGTGCTTTGCTATGAAATGTGAGGGTTTATGCATTTGTCTTGTGATATTGCATATCTAGAGCTTGTGTTTAGGGTTCTTGTGTTCCATTGCTTGGCATTTTCCATGGTTCAAGTCATTTTGTTGTATTGGGTGAGATTTGGCATGTTTTGGACTTGAATTTATGTTTGGAGAAGAAAATCCCCGAAGGGATTTGTTGTGGTACAAGTGTGTACCCGCGGGCGGGGCACCACCCACCGGCCTACCCGCGGGTACATGGCCTTGTGAGAAGGTGTTCCCGCGGGCGGGACCACGGGTCGGGCACTACCCATGGGTCCACCCGCGGGTACATGGTTGGTGTTGTGATGGGATTTGTTTCCCGTGATCCGTTTGACTCGGTATTTGGTCTTTTGACTTCCCGATGTTCTTTTGTGGAACTATTTGAGTGTCTTCTTGATGTTTCGTATGTCTAGAACTATATGGTAGGAATCCATGTAGGCTTTGGTGTCTTGTATCGTGCTAAGTGTTCAACATTGTGTTTCATTGAACCGTGGTTAGTCTTGTGTGTTCTTCGGAACTACGTTTGGTTTACCCGTTTGATAAGCATGCTAGTTTGTTGTTTAAATGCTAGCGTGTGTGTTGTTTGTACCTTCCGATTGGTGGATGATAACTTGTGTTATTCATCGTTGTTGTTGGGGTTGTTACCCATTCCTTGATTGAGTATGGTTTCATACCTTCGTTGTGATCCGTTGATTGATTCCTGTTGTGGTGTGATGTGTGTGTGGCTTTACCTGGATTGCACGATTGGTGGTATGGGACGCTAGTCACCAAGGTATTGCAGCGGTCCTCGTGGTGGCCGTGACGTGATTATGGAGTTGTGGCCTTTGTGTAAGGTTCACGTTTTATGGGGGATAACATGTGTGCCATGTGTGTACGGTACCTTGTGTACTATGAATTGGTGGTCTCGTTGGTGGTCGTTGGTGGGGGACGACGGTCCCGGGGGAATAAGGTTGGACTTGGTTGTACAGGGGTCCTGGAGGTAATGGTTAGAAGAAGATATAAGGTTGGGGGTAGCCATAAGGTTGGAATAGGGCATAAGGAAGGCATATCAACTCGTGATGGGTGATGTCACGAGGGCTTGTGTAGCCGTTGTTGTGAGTTCTCTTTCTTGTGACGTGTGTAGTCACAAGGGCATGTGTTGCCATCGGTCTTGTCTTTATCCTTTGTGTTGTAGTTATCCTTTGTGGTCTTGGGATGTGTTCCCGTGTTATCTTTGAGAGTGATGAGTCTTTAGTTGGTGTTTACGCTTGGTTTTACACTTATATATATGTATTCCGTTTCGAAAATGGTTTTACAATTTATACCTTACTTATGTATGTTATTTCACATGTATTGGTGGGTTACCAGCATTATTCGCTGACCGGGCGTCGTCCCATTTCTATTTGTTGCTTTACAGGTTGGGTAACCTTGGAGAGCGCGCTAGTGGCCTGTAGATAGTGTTATCTCTTCCTGTATTAGTTGTTGAGGCCTGTGAGCCTATGTGGTTGAGTTGTTAGATGTTGTAGTTGTAGTATCTGCCTGTGCACCTATGTTTGATATAGGTGTGGCATAGCATCTCCCGGATTTATGTAGTTCGCTTCCGCTTCTCTTATGTTGATGTTTAGACGGCTTATCCCTTTACATTAAGTTTTAAAAATTGTTGAAATTCGGGGGTGTTACATAGAGGGATTTGATTTACACATATGGAGTGTGGGTTTGGGTCAAATGGTTAACAACAACAACAACAACAACATACTAGGAATAATCCTAAGGGGTTCATACTTCTTTCAGCTAGGCTAACGGGATACCAATTCAACTAGCATGCGATATATATAAGACTCATTTGTCCTACGAATGGTACCCGAAACATCAAACTAGACTTAGGCACGATAAACGGAGTCCGTTGGGACACCACGAGGGTCGGGGAAACATCAAACGGGGAAACCGAAGACCCAAGTTGGGCAAATTCCAGCGGGGAGCCGGTGGGTGGAGGACCACCCGCCGGCGACAAGCCTCCGGGCAGCGGGTGCCCGGCGGGCAGTCGCCTGCCCGCCGGTGGCGTCCTTCTTGGGCAGCGGGTAGGTGGCGGGTCCCCCTACCCCCCACTGATTCTTTATCAAAATAAACGTCCCGGGATCCGTTGTGGAACCCGAAACCATGCTTAGACACTTTTAAACGCAATTGATGACACCATGTAGACAATTAACGGATCAAAAGCAAGAATCATATAGCACACATCCTATCATGATTTCTAAACATAATCAACACCCGAACATGCGAAATCCCCACCCAATTATATCAAGAATAACACAATACGAAATCCCCAATTTGACCTAGGGCTCTAATCATATTTAAATAATCAAAATCACAGTTCGTCTTTTAACATCAAGAAACGTCAAGATTCATCCAGAATATCACATAATCATCAAGAACCTCTTATCATCATCAATATCATCAAGGTCACACATAAAATCATCTCACAATCATCAAGAACGTATCATTAATATCATAAACGATTCATCAAGACACGAGTATAGAGAGGAGGCCAAAGAAGATAATTATAGCAAGGAAAATAGGTTTTGTTGAGACATGGGTTACCTCTTAGCCTTAATTAATCATCCCTTGGCTATTAAGGTTCTTCCCTAAGATTTCCATCCGTTTTGATCTCCCTAGGTTTGGTAGTGGGTAGTCCCTTGGAAATTCTTGTGTGGTGATATCTATTGTGGTGTGACTTCTAGGTGCCTCCTATGTCCTTACATATATATATATATATATATATATATATATATATATATATATATATATATATATATATATATATATATATATATTTAGGAGTCCTAATTAAGGTCTGAATGGTATGAGTTTACTAATTCTATTCCTTATAGGACTAAGGACTTGTTTTAGGGATAAGGGTCCATGGTTCATGGTGGACCATATTAATTAATTAAAGAGAATCCTAACCATAATCTGAATAGTAAAGGTATACTTTCTTTATTCCTAATAGATGTGTAGGCCTAGGATTCCTAATTAGGATCTGATTAGTAAAATGTTGACTTTCTTTATTTCTAATAGGCTTATGACTCTAGTTTAGGCAAAGGTCCACGATCCGTGGTGGACCACATTAATTAATTAAAGGGATTTCTAATCAAATTAAATCCTTTTTAATTATTATTAATGGAATTAATTAAATAATTAATTCGGGTTTAAAGGCCGTAATACGGGATGTTACAGGAAATGCCAAGTAGTTAGTAACAAATGTGAATTGAAAATGAGTGGTTTTCGGATAACTTTTGAAATTCAAACTATGAGTCTAAAGTCCTGAGTTTGATTGCAACTACTTTTTTTAGTTATCCTAAATTACTAGAAGAAGTGGGAACTCGTGACAGGATTCGTGTCTAGGCCCAAGTTGGGTGAGGGTGGATTGAAAGTTGGGTCAAGAGGTTGGGAGAATTAGGCAAGTTAAGAATTTTTTTTTTTTTTTTTTTTTATAGTTATTTGGAAACAATCATGTGGGCTGTATAACAAAAAATGGGGAAAAAATGAGTCAAAAAAGGTAAAATGGACTCATTTTGGGATTTTTGTTCAAGTTTTTTTCGACTCATGTAATAAAGAGAGGAAGGAAATAGAAGGGAAAAGAAAAAGAAAAAATAAACAAAAAAAAAAAAGTAAGTTAAGCGGTCACAACTAACGCACGCAACAAGCGCGTGCATCACACACTCATATTGGGCATTGATGGTGTGTGCCACATGACAACGCACACCAGCTTGCCTAATTCGTTTAAAAAAAAAATCAATAAGATTAAAAACACTTATTATTATTGTTTTTTAATTAAGTATTAAAACTTATGCAAGACCAATCTTATGCTCCTAAATTCCTACCCAAGAACCACAAGATGAGGTAAATAGCAAATTACCTTAATAGTCCCCAACTTTCCACCCTACATGTACACTCTGGCGTTTGGTTCAGGTTATATAACATAACCAAGGGAATGTGACATTCCAAAGCTCACATTCCGGTGTTTGGTTCATATTATCTTAGGGAATCTAACATTCCCAAGGAATGTCACATTCCCTCCACATAGGATTTTGAAGGGAATGTGATTCCCTTCAAAATCTTAGGTAATGTAAGATAACCTTGGTTATTTTAAAAATATTATAGTGTGTATAAAAGATAACCCTAAACCAAACATGATTATATTACATACCTCAATTTTAACCAAACACAGGAATCCAACATTCCCAGTAATCCAACATTCCCAGTAATCTAACATTACCTAAGGTAATCTGACATTCCGTGAACCAAACGACCCCTTAAGTCTTCATTTCCTCGATCAAGGTACAACATGCTCTCTCTCTCTTCTCTCTTCCCTCCCTCCACTCCACCTCATAAAAAACCCACAAAAAAATCTAAAAAAAAAAAAAACTAAGTAAATTAGGAGGGGTGGGGAAATAACATTTCTAAATTTCTAAAAAATAAATGGTTTAACATTACAGTGTCTTACGATACAAATTGAACACTAAACCACAAAATTCGTCATTCAAATTTACAAACTCTTTTTACGGCGGAATCCGGCTTTGACTGACCGGAATTTGGACGGGAAGGAGCGATTTGTTGGATCGTACCTGCACAATAAATGTATTACGAGACATTACCAGCAGCCGCGGCCAACATCCGGACATAAAGTTGTATCAAATTACAGTAATGGCATTACTTTCTTCATCAGTATAGCTTCTTACTTTGTCTTCTCTCTCACCTTCTGAAAAATACCTAATTTTGTTCTTGCTCTGCGCCGTCACCGTTTCTCTAATTTATCACTTCCTTTTTTTTGGTCAATTTTGTTGTTCCCAAGATTTTCTGTTTCTGGGCTTTGTTCGACTGGTTATCTGCTGCTTGAAGGTGAGATTTTGTGATTTTGCATTTCACTTTTGACCAGACAGTGATTTCTTGTTTTCTTGAATAATTTGTCTTGTTATGGGGAGATATACAGATTATGTATAGATTAAAATACTCTGAACAGAAGAGGAGAAGAAGAGTGGTTACTGATGGGGATGTTTTTCAGCTATAAACTAGAATTCGGGGGCAATGCAATCTCTTTTGAGGAATTGATAATTTATATAAGAGAAGGAAGCAATCTTTACAGAAATGTGAACTTATTCAAGTTGGAAAACAGTGTTTTTTCTTCAATTATGACTGGGGAATTCATAGATTATAACAATGTATCTGGTTATCCCCAAAACCCAGTATTCAATAGCTTATTTATACAGGAAGTGAAGTGATCATTTTTAAGTATCATGTATTTGACTGCCTAGTTAATCATGGTTACTTAATAGTATATCAATATTCAAGATGAGGCTGCTCTAATGTAGTCTGGAATCCAGTAAGTGTGCTAGTTTTGTAGCATTGTGGGGTTGGGACTTGTGTGCTATTTCTTGATTATGGACTGATCATTAATTCATGATCAGCACATTGTTATCTTTCTTCTCCAAAAATTTTACTGCTTGATGCAGTTGTGTTTGTTAAAGTTCAAAGCTATTCTTTACTAATTTTGCTTGATTGTGTAAATTAGATGCATTGCACTACAAGTAGCTTCTGTATAAATTATAGATTGACATTGAATTAACATATACATAAATATATTTTCTTGAACCAGTTTGTTGAATGGCTCCAAAGCTTGACATTGCTTGGGATCATGCCACACCAGTTGGTGGTAACCGAAAAGTTGCACAATGTAATTACTGTGGAAAGATTATACATGGTATTACAAGATTAAAACAACACATTGCCCATGTGCCAGGAAGGTCGGAAGCATGTCCAAATGCTCCAGAAATAGTTTCACAAATGCTGAAGAAACATCTTACTCGGGGTAGAAATGAGAGAGAAAGAACATGCAGTCAAGCAGAAACTCGTGATGATGCTTTTGAAATGGAATCATATAGTCATTTGGATGATTTCTTTAGTGAAGATGACAGTGATACTAATGTTGATTTTGCTGACTATGAGGGATTGTCGGAGTTGGAAAAGCTGCAACTTAAGCAAGCCATGGAAGAGAGCCGTCACACAGCTCGTAAGGAGGAAGAGGAACGTAAAAAATTTGCTTTGGCAGTTCATTCAATCAATAAACCCTCAACTGGTATTTATATTTCATTCAGGATTATAACTAGAAATAATATTTGACCTGATAAATTCATATTTACATCTTCCATCTTGATTTTTTCACTTTAGGTAATGATAGTGCTGGTACTTCAAGTAAATCAATTTCCGGAACAAAGCGTGCGCGTTCTTGCAGCAACAGTATGTTTAACATTCTAGTAAAGCTGATAAATTATATTATGTGTTATATAATATTCTCTTATAAGGATTATATCATCTGTTAAATGTTAAAGTATTAGTTTTATTGTCTTTATATGCTAGCCTTACTATTATAGTTATGTAGATCATTCTGAGTTTCTGACCACTGATGAGTTATTCAGCGTGACAAAATGTCCATATATTTGTCATTTTGATGGTACAACTGCATTTATCTTGCAAAAAAAAAAAAAAAAAGTCTGTCTTAACTATCTCATTTATTCAGGAATGGATAAGACACAAGTTGTTGAGCTGCAAATTGAAGAACTGAAAAAGGAATTAGATTTTCAAAAACAAAAGGTGAATGATGTTGAACAAGAAAATGAGAAGCTGAAGAAGGACTTGTTGCATATACAAGAAGAACTTGAGTGGCAGTCTAAAATGGCTGATGAAAAGAATCCAGATGTGCATGAACTCAAAGCATTACTGCTTCAGAAGGAAACGGTAAGCTAATCAATTGCTACTTGTGCTTGGTAGTTGCATTGAGAGAGCTAGTTTTAGTAGAACATTGTCCATCTTATCACTTATTCCTAATGTTAAATATAAGTTTATTGATATATACAGAATATTTATCTTTGCAAAGATCAGGGACTATTGTTTCCTCACCCTGTTTCAAGGGTCCTAGTAAAGGAAGTTATTTGGACTCGTTCCATTCCTGATACTAAAGATGTTTCTTAATGATTCCTTTAATATCAATAGAACTTGTATCCTCATCATTGCATCTTTGCATTTTATGTAGGATAGTATATCTTATAGTATTTTCAAGAAGCATGGAGGATATATTGATGTGGTCATAAGATTGGAGTTGTATTTTTCAGTTGATAATTGGACATTCATGCCTCTAGTCTATGATAATGAATATGATGCACTATGGAATTTGATAGGAACGTAATGTTTTAAAGTTGAAGTCTCATTTCTTTATCAGGAAGCTTCTTATCCTCTGTCGTTAAGATAAAATTTTTATCAAGATGGCATTTCCATTTCTTTTTATACCATTTTAAGTTCAGGAGATCAATGAATTGAAAAAAACACTAGCTGAGAAAGAAGATGATCTTCATGATGCGGAAGATCTAAACCAGACTCTTATACTGAAGGAGCATATGAGTAATACTGAACTGCAGGAAGCCCGCAAAGAATTGATCAGTGTAAGTCTTTCCATACACAATTTTATAGGCTGCATATGCATGAAGCATAGATATCAGCTATACCTTAGATAAGTATATTACCTGCTGTTCTCAAGCAGGTGTGGCCTAATCTTATGGGTAAAACTGAAGTTGGTGTAAGGAGGATGGGTGAAGTTGATCAGGAACCTTTTCAAACCGTCTGTTTACGTAGATTTGGTCGGCAAGATTGGGAGGTGAAAGCTACAGAATTGAACTCTCTGTGGCAGGAGAAGGTGAACAACCCCAGCTGGCACCCTTTCAAAAAAATTCACAAAGATGGAGAATGGCAGGTATGCTTCTTTTTGTCTTCTCAGAGTTACTTGACTCAATGGTTTAGCTGCATGTAGCAGATAGCACCGTATCAAGATAGATAGACTTCATAAAAACGTTATTCCGCTAACTTTTTTTTTTTTTTTTAAAAACAAATATATTTTACTGATGATGAGAATTTCTTAGAATACTAGTTTTTTACGCGCATTGCGCGATTGGGATAATGCCCAATGTTTTTTTTAATAAGTACTTTAAAGTATATCAAGGTAGGATTATATTAGAATTGTTCATGCATAAATAATTGAATGTTGAATTTGCGTATTTAAATAGGTAATTCTAAATTTACAAATGCAAGATAAGATAGTCAAGATTGATTATAATTGTCAATAAAATAATTGTATAGGTATGGTTGAAACCAAATATGGGACATAAGGGAGCTCAAATAAAAATTAGGGCATAAAATTTTAAATATATACTAATATTGAAAAGCTAATTATTGATTGTCAAACAAGGACATTGTGAGGTAGTTTTCCACTTCAATTTATTGTGTAATTTGAATACTTTTTTTGTAAATAAATCCCTCAAGTAGTTAATATGATTGGCTTAATTATATTTTTTTTTATATTTTTTTTATTTTTTAAAACAATTATTAATTATTATTATTATTATTATTATTATTATTATTATTATTATTATTATTATTATTATTATTATTATTATTATATGTATATGTATACCCTTAGGTCATTTTACATGTTAATCTAAAAAGCTAATTTTTTCAAATATCTTTTTACCAACCGTTGATATAATTCGTTGGTCAAATCAGCTAATATAATCTGCTAACGCTAACCGCTAACTACTGATTGTCAAACAAGGACATTACGAAATAGTTCTCACTTCAATTTGTTGTGTGATTTGAATACTCTCTTTGTCAACAAATTCCTCAAGTAGTTAATATGATTGGCTTTATTAATTATGTTTTTCTTAATTTTTTCATGATATTAATAAAATACTTGGTAAATAAATATATAACATTATTTTGTATTATAACTTTGATATTTAATTAAAAAAATAGTGCACAAAAAAGATAATAGACAATGTAGTGAATATAATCAATTGATAAATTTGAATGTAAAGAATTTTTACATTGGAGAAAATAAATACAATATAATATAATAAAATTATTTTTCTTAATTAATTTATTGATAATGAATATTTTTTTTTAATAAAGACATTGTAGGGACAATGTAGCGAATATAATCAATTGATGAATTTGAATGTAAAGAATTTTTATATTGGAGAAAAATAAAGACAATATAACTAATGAAATTATTTCTCTTATTTAATTTATTGATAATGAATAATTTTTTTGAATAAAAACATTGTAGATACATAATTCTATATTAAAGATCGAAATGCATATGTATTATTTTTTGTTGTAACTACTAAATTATTATTTAATTTAATAAAGTAAAATAGAGTACTAAATATGTCAACTTTGATTGGGATGGGGTTCAAACTTCGAACTTAAGACTTTTCTTATTGAAATCAATGAATAAGTTAACGGTGAACTAACAGAAATTAACGGAAAAGATAATATTTAACGGAAAAGTTAACGGATAATCATATTCATTAAGGATAAATTAGTAAATCTTAAGAAAAAATTAAAATCTGATCAATTTGAGCTATTCATTTGATTAAAAAACTTGGCCGCCATTTTTTCTACCCATTATAGGCCTAACTCTCTTGGGCTCTTATTATTATAGTAGATTTTCACGGTAAACATTTGGTAGCATCATATTATTGATCCCATTTCTTAATGGAGAAAACATAGATGGCGGGATGCCTGTGATAACCCCCTTTCAATCTCCAAATGCATATACATGTACAAAGGTCTTCTGCAATTCTCATCTTTGAAAACCATCCATTAGTCTGGGCTACTTTTACCTGTCCTGCTCTAACTAGAACTATCTCTTGTATCCCTATAAAATAAATACATCCTCCCTTCATGTACTTTGAAATACGATTGATCAATAATAAAATTCTCTATTTCAAGAACCTTGATGTTCTATTTACCCATACGTTTATATGCAGGAAATAATAGATGAAGACGACAAAACCCTGAGAGAACTGAAATATCAATGGGGCGAAGCGCCTTACAAAGCGGTCGTTGCTGCCCTGCTGGATTTGAACGAATACAATCCAAGCGGGCGATACGTAATTCAAGAACTATGGAACTTTCAGGCTAGAAAGAAGGCCACTTTACAAGAAGCAGTCCAATGCATGATTCAGCAGTTAGAGGCTCTTAAGTCTTCCAGACATGTACGTTGATCAATCCCAAACCAAAGTATTAGCTACATGTAAATATTAGCATGAGTTAGAGTTTCATGGGATATTAGGCTTTCAAAAAAAAAAAGGTTTTGTTGAGTTAAAAAACTTTGGGGTGGTAAATTGTCATTAAGTTTTGTGAACATTCTACTTATGGAGTAATGTATCATGGAGAGATTGATGTAGTTTAACTGAAAAAGAATACTTGTACTAAGTATCCCGACAAGTTTTACTTTATTTTCATACCCTTAATCGAAAATGATAAGTGTTCTGTCACATGTTTTCAATATTGTAAATTTCCTTGAATTATTTTAAATTTTATATTTCTTTATCCTTTTACTTATGAAAAATGCTTTAACTCTATTCAAAAAATAAAGAGTGATGCAACTTATGAAAAATTATTAATATACCTCGTTATTTTTTACTTATAAAAATATTCAAGTCAATCAATTAACCAATTTCATTGCTTTCTATGCAGTATGTAGTTACCAACAGAGCCCAACAATTTCTGGGTTTGAGTTTTAATGACGTTGTTGGACCATTTTTAGTGTCATGTCGTTTCTTAACTCTCCAGTGCTTCTTGCTCGTATATTGGTTGGAAAGTGTGGGACATTGTAATCGTGATTTGATTTCACAATAATAGTTTACTTTGATAGTTGTTTTCAAAAATATATATAATATAAAATTTAACATGAATTTTGGTCAATTAATTAGAGTCACGTATTGTACATTGATGAAACAATACACTTAATTAACAATATATATTCAACACAGATGAGAAACTACGCCTATTATCATTGTCTTTTTGAGAAATGAGGATTTGGTTATGTTTTTGAAGGTGCACTACGCCAATGTACTAAAATTGCAGCGAAACACACCAGGAGACTAATCAAATCAAGAATTCATTTCTAACGGAAGTAGCAACAAAAGGAAGTATGGATCATGCCAATTAATAGGGTTTTGTGTTGCAAAAACTATGCTTAGGATACTATCTGATGAGAGTGTTTCTCTCTAAAACAGTTATTGCCCCAGTTAATCCAACATTTATGCCACATGTCATAGTTATGCATTCTTTAAATGTTGGTGCAATTGTTTGTTGAAATAAATGGTTAATAGTATTTTGATTTTAGTTTTTTTTTATTATTATTATTTTTACTATTTTACCTTCTATTATATCATTTATTTTTTCTAAATACATATGTTTTCCGTCAATGTAAACTTTAGTAGCGGAATATTTCATTAACTATTTATTATTTTTAATTTACTCATTGATTTTCATAAGGAGGGTCTTAGGTTCGAACCTCATCCCAATCAAAATTGACATAATTGTTAAACATATATTATGATTATGTTAGAGTGTATTCAAAAAACTACAATATAACAGGCAATGTGATTGATCAATATCTGGCCAAGAGTTTCTTGCTCGTATACTAGTCAGGAGGTGTGGGACGCAGATACCCTCATTGTATTCGTGATTTGATTTCGTAATAATAGTTCACTTTGATGGTTGTGGCCAGAGTTTCGTGCTCGTATACTAGTCAGGATGTGTGGGACATAGATATCCCTCATTGTATTCGTGATTTGACTTCGCAATAATAGTTCGCTTTGATGGTTGTTTTAAAAAAAAAAAAAGTATAATATAAAATTTAACATGAACTTTGGTCAATTAAATAGAATCGCGCATTGGGCATTGATGAAACGGTACACCTAATTTACAATATATATTCAACACACATGAGAAACTATGCTTATTATCATTGTCTTTTTTGGGGAATGAGAATTTGGTTCAATTTTTGAAGGTGCATTGCGCCAACGCACTAAAATTGCAGTGAAGCACACAAGGAGACTAGATCAAATCAAGAATTCAACATTAGTTCGACATTGGAGTGAGGGTTTTGTGACTTTGTGTTGCAAAAACTATGTTTAGGGTAATATCCAGTGAATCCAACATTGGAGTGAGGGTTTTGTCTTTAAAACTGTTATTGTACCAGTTAATCCAACATTTCTACCACAAGTCATAGTTATGTATTTTTGAAATATTTATTTTTATGAAAAATTTGATAATCTTGCAATGATATACGTCAGAATACCGAATGATATTTTAATAAACTAGTAATTCACCCGCGCGATGCACGGGAAAAAAATTATGTTATTATAAATATAAATAAAAAATAGAAAAACTAAAATATTTTAAATTGTTTAATATAATAATATTTTTGAGCTTTCATTGGTCAAGTATTTATTATTTTTATAGAATACAAAATTACAATTAAAATTAAAATTAAAATTAAAATTAAAATTTTGTATGGTTAATATAATCCGTAATTATGTGCATATTCAAATAAATTTATAGAGAGAATTTACATAATTACATTGATTTATTCTTAATTGTATTTCATCTATATTATAATTTTCACAATACGAATAATAACAAAGATAATTACATTTGGAAAGCAAATTTCAAATCTTGTATGAGTAAATTTAAACTCTAATTGAACACATTTTTTATATGATTATATAATATATAACTATTTTATTTTTCAAAAGTACATTTTTTATATGATTATATAATATATATAGCTATTTTATTTTTTAAATGTTTTTTTTAATAAAGAATGTTGTGGTGTTAATTGTAACATTAATTATTTCTCAAACCATATAATTTTATTATAGTTAAGATTCTGAAATACTAATTTAAAAGTACACATTAGGAATTGGCCTATTACGCCCAATACGTGCGTTGTAACTAGTCTCATCTCAAAATAAAAGAGAATAATATTAAATTAGTACATTAACCTCAATAAATTTGAATGTTAATTCTATTTTTTGCCTTTGCCCCACCCAATAGCCTTAAGCTGTCATGCCTCTTTCACCCCCTTTGCCTTGGGCATCCCTTGTCTCATTTTCTCCTTTTAAGGTCGACTTTTCTTTCACTCTTTTTTAAGTTAAAGAGTTTCACGAGCTTATTATACTGGTTTAATATGTAGGAGTTAATTTTATTTTTGGTTCTAGATTTATAGGTGATAATTCATTTTTAATCTTTTTTTTTAAAAAAAAAATATTTATTTTTTATCCTAGTATTATTATGACGTGATCATTTTTGGTCCTCTATCAACAAAACAATTTAAATTTCGTCAAATACAAGAACATTCTAGTCTTCAATTTCAATTTTTTCAAAAAAAAAAAAATAATAAACTTAAAAAAAATATAACGGGTCAACCTACTTTGTAAAAAAAGATTGAAATGTGTATTTAACAGCATTTCAATGATTTTCTTGACGGAGGACCAAAAATTGCTATGCCACAATAATACTAAGATCAAATGAAAATTTTTTGATAAAAAGAACTAAAAGTGAACTGCCACCTATAAATCTATGACAAAAAAATGGAATTAACGCAATATATAATATTTGAAAGAGAGACCAAGATTCGAACCTCGACAGTAACAATATGAGGATTAATGGTTTATGTCCAAAATGAGTAGATCCCTTATGTGTATCGATATTTGATATGTTTATTGAGTCATTAAGTTACTGTTACATCTTTCTCAGTCAGTAAAAGTGACCATTGAAATTGAAAGAAGAAGAAGAAGTTAAGACCTTCACAATAAAATGGACTTCACAATTCTAGAGCCCATCATAATCCTATCTCTAGACTCACTCGATATAAAAATTAGAGGTGTCGGGGCACGTTGTGAAACACAGACAAATAAATGATCAAAATATCTATGAGGTCCCTGTATTATAATGTTTTATTCAATTTAGTCCTTTTACCTTAATTTTGTTCAATTTAGTCCCTATACTTTTAAAAGTAAAACAATTAAGGACAATAGCTGATGTGGCGCTGACATTATATCTGTCACGTCATCATACTTACATGCCAATTCATATATTATTTTATAAATATTTAAATTAATTATTTTTACCACCAATATATTACATTAATATGTCCAAAATAAATACATAAATATAAGCTATTGTCCTTAATTGTTTCACTTTTAATAGTATAAGGACTAAATTGAACAAAATTAAAGTAGAAAGACTAAATTGAACAAAACACTATAGTATAGAGACCTCATAGGTACTTTGACCCAAATAAATAAAGAATCTGATCCGTCGGCACTCTCAGCTCGACGGAGATAACGATGACGCAACTACGCAAGTCCCCCTCGTTTCTTTCGGCAACTTCTAGTCCTTTCCGCATCTTCATTTTAAAAAGACAAGTTTGTACTTTCCCTTTTCGTAACTGAACCGTCAAAATTAGGGCTGGGCACTTCAGGTTTTGATTCCTTTTTTTTTTAATTTTATTTTTTATTTTTTTATTTTGGTTTCGATTTTAAAATTAAACCATTCGATTTAAAAATAGGATTCGGTTTAATTTCAGTTTGAAAAGTTCGATTTCGATTTGATTCGGTTTTAGTGGAAGTCCACTATTTGAACGTTTCTTTATTTGCTTGATCGATTGTTCAGTTAGTTCACTTGGAGTGTCACTTGAAGTGTTTTTTTGATGACAAGATAAGAATCATCCATCTATAGTTAATATTTGAAAAATAAGAATTATATATAATACTAGCATTTTGTACGCGTGATGCTCGAAAATTTATGCCCAACATTAAAAATTGATAAATGCAAATAATTACAATTATAGTTCAAATTATATTTCGCAATTCCTTAAAGTAGTAAATTTTAATCATCGTATTTGAAAACTATAGAGATGAACAAAATTTATATTTTGTTTATTAATAATGTAAGCAATTTTGATATAATTTATACTTTGTTTTTACAATAAATAAATAAAATATCTATAATACTAATCTAGTACTTGGTCACATATATTGGTGCGTGTGCGTGCCTATATATATACACACATATATGATTTACTAATTCATAGAAATTTAATTAAAATATAATCAACAATTAAAGTAATTATATAATGATTTTAATAAAATGATAATTAAAGAATAGGAAAAAGATATCATAGATAATTAGATATTGGTGTATGATAATAATGATAGAATTATGAAAGTTTTAGAATTAAATAGTAACTGTGTTATAAAGGTATAACGGTATTTTAGTCCAACAAGAATGTAGTAGGGACAATTTTGTCCATTACAATTGAAGTGTACAACATTTAATAAAAAATATATACATTTATTAATATACAAATGTAAAAATTAACACAAATGTGTCTATAGCTTAATGGGTAAAGTTCTTGATTTTTAATTTAGTGGTCAAGGGTTCAAACTTTACTTCGGTTTAGGACGGAATCGATC